ATAAACTTGTTCCCGGGTTATCTCAAGATCTTCGCCTGTCTGAAAGAGGAAATCTCGTTGAGTGCTTGAATGATCAGAACATACCCAAACTTTGATAGTCTTTCCTTCAACTCCCAGAAGTAATATGTAATTCTTGCATGGTTGATTATTCAATTCGAAACTTCTGATCAAATCTTCACCGAAAAGTTCCTGAAGAATCGTCCCATAAGAGATATATGAGAAGTAGTAGTAACTCTTACCAAATCGTTGGTAGTTGTGCTTTGATTAGAAGCAGTCAGAATTCTCTTGGCTAGAATGATGAATATGGCTGGTGATTCAGTACTGTTTCTTCTGCATTCCTCAGGCGCTTCCGCCTTGTATGGAATGTCAGCTTCTTTCAACCCTGAGAACAGAAGGATAACAAAGTAATATTAACCGTTGATGAGACTCACTTTCCATTTGTAAGGCGATACTTTCTTGAATTGTTTGACGCCAAGCATCAGTGAGCATATGATCTGGGTCACAGAGAGTTGAACCCTCGCCTACATTACATTGAGTGAAGTTGGCTCTAGGGTCGGGATAGTTTCTAGCTTCCCATTGCTATAGAATACGAGTTGTAATGAGTGAATAACAGTGTTAATGCAAACCTCTGTATCGGCTCTGAGAACTGTCCCAGAAGCTATGATTAACGATAGTAGTGAGAGCATTGAGAGCAAGAATTCTGCAACAACAGATGAACTACAAGAAATGAAACATCAACTCACATCAGCTCTATCGTCAGCAGTTGTAACTCTGCGATAAATAGTAAATTTAAATTAAAAGCGAATAAATGTGTGAAACGATTTTATTAATGAGGTGAACTTACGGAATATACTTTCCAGCTATGGTCAGCAAGAAGCCTTTGTTTGGATTTGTGATGTCATTCCGTTGTAAGTGGCCAGAGATAAGTGGATAAACACACGATTGTTAGAAAAGAAGAAGATGATAACGGCATTCGGACAGAAACAATTTCTTTTCTTGCATATTTCGCTTGATAATCATACAATTATTCCAGCCAGAGCTCTCCTGAGTCTCTTCGTCAATGACACATCATCCTAACTCCAAAGATCTGCAGAACTGGACAGCTCTCTGATTACTAGTTTTTCCATGATAAGTTTGAGGCCTCTCAAGTGTGTTCGCAGGGAGTGAAGAGCTAAACCAATCATCTCACGTGCTGACCATTACCTCCTTCCTCCCTCAAAACCAAAAACGTTAATCTCATCCACTTACCTTTCTTTATTTGACTGCTATAGTCCTCATCAAAGTTTCTTTTTTATCCCTTTCATCTATTTTAATGACGGACTTGCCGTTCCCGTATATTTATAAATCTCTTTAGAGCATTTACCAAGATCCGCAGGATGCTTTTCTACACTTCATGGTATTTTCGGATACTCTTGAACCCAAAAAAGTACTCTCAACGCGATTGTCTACAGTTCACCCCGCGGTCAAATTGTTGCATAATAACGAGATCCAATACTTGAGCTTGCGATTGCAGCCTTAACAAAAGAATCGAAAAAGGAAATATGTGGCCCTAAAGAGGGCCGTTGGGTTAGATTATGGGTTGTCCACTTAGAGAGACGAAGTGAACTTGGTTACGGCTTTGGTGCCTTCTGAGACAGCATGCTTGGCAAGTTCTCCCGGAAGAATAAGTCTGACGGCAGTTTGGATTTCGCGAGAAGAAAGAGTTCTCTTCTCTCCATACTTAATCAAACGAGACGCTTCAAGGGTTATGCGATCAAAAACATCAGTCACAAAAGAGTTCATGATGCTCATGGCTTGAGAAGAGATTCCGGTTGAAGGATGAACTTGCTTGAGAACTCTGTAGACGTAGCTGGAGAACTGCCCTCTCTTGCTTTTCTTCTTCCTCAAACGTTTGGTGACGGTAGTGGAAGCGGTAGCTGGAGTTGAGCGTTGGGCCATAGTCTTCTTCATTCCCTTTCCTGCTTGTTTCGGAGGCATCGTTCGCTTACTTTGTTGAAAGATGATTTGACGGCTGGAAAAGCTCATTTATATGCCAGATTGTGAGCAAGCTCCGCCCCTTTTCAGTACTGAACTTTACCGAAATTTCATAATCATTGGCGCCAAAAGTTGTTGTTGATTTCGTAATTGTGAAATCTGCATACGAAAGTGCAACCGGATGTTTATGACGACTACTAATGTTTGAAGTTAATGAGGCTAGGGAATATTCAGATAGTAATGTAATATGGAATATGGCTCAACATGCTGCCGCTACGCGTTTTGAAATTGCTATTTGAAATAGTTTCGTAATCATTCAAAGAAGTCTACATTCACATAACAGGGAAAAGCCTTGATGAGCATATCATGAGCATATCATTAAACTAGAAGAGAGAGAGAGAGAGAGAGAGTGAGGATAGATAGGAGGAGAGGATGATTTTGTTAAAAAGAAATTTTTATTTCTTCTACACCTCAGTGTGTGTACTTGCAGAAGACTATGAGTTCAAACATAAAAAGAAAAGAAAAAAAGCCATTTCGTTAGTTATTTAATAACAAATCGATCGATGTGTTTTCGTGCTATTTACAAAACTGTGTGAAACACGGACAGAAACGTATTTTCAAATGAAAATGTTGTTCCATCCCATATAAGGCATGAAAAGCAAAGTCTATTGTGGTGACACAAGTAATTCTCTAAAACTCGAGAGAAGAACACGTAAGCAATACAAAAGGAGAGCAAACTACAAAGAAAAAAAACTTTTTTTTTCCTTCCTCGAAAACATTACATGAAGAGAAACATTCTTATAAATCTTAATTATGTTTAAATGTGTTGTTGTTGTTGGTGTTGTTGTGGTGATTGTTGTGATTGCAACTTCGAATCTTAGTAATATCTTGACCAGCTAGCTGTACTGGCGGTGTAGTTGTGTGGACGATAGCTATTGAAGTGGCGAAGAGAGCTGTTTCCATAATATGACCAATACGATGGAGCATTACTTCAAACAGGTTAAATATGAGATAGATGATGATCAAATCAAGATAACATACGCTGTTCCCAAATAATTACGACTATACATATAGTTTTTGAGAGATTTCGGTTGGCTGGCAATATCGAAATTTGTTTCTGTGGCCATGTAGTTGTACCCAGAGTATCTGAGAGCAAAAGGTTTTAAAAACATTTTTTCTTAAATTATGATTTACCCTCGTCTTGTTGTAATTCGACTACTTTCAGCTGTCATTTGAGGAGGTGTATAGGATGAAGTAGTTCCATACTGCCGCTCAAATGAACGATATGAGTATGGTCGACGATAGTCCTGTTGACTTCCATAGACATATCTATATAACTCACATAAATAGATTCAATAAGATGTGATTCTTACTTGTAAATAGGATAACTCCAGGTTCTCAAGCCACCGAATACATCGTACTTTCTATAATGAGAGAAAGAGATGAAGAGCTATGTTATAAGCTTATATACCTGAATGGTTCTTGCTCAGAGCGGTAATGGACGTTAGTGTGGTAAGGGGCAGTAACCATGGCCAAGGGAGAACGTAATCTAGTGCGAGGTCCGTGTCTATTATCGTCTACTCGCTGCAAAAACACAATTATTTTATTTACTTTAATGAAACTGTGATTGAGATAAGCAAAAATATATTTTTCATCTTCTTGTCATTAGGTAGAAGTGAGAAGATTCAAGCTTCTTCTTCTTCTGCTTCTTCATTCTACTGCTCCATGTTGTAACAGCAGTAGAAGAAGTCACAAAAAAACACAATAAAAACAAGCCGACAGCTGCTCATCTGCCTTATACACATCGTAGCGAAAGAAAATAAAAAAAAGAAGCAAAATATACAAAAGTATTTTTATATTAAAATAGAGGAAACATAGTAGTACTTACCTCAACAGCGGAAATTTCACGAACAGGAGTGTAACTACGACGAACGTAACGTTCATAGTTGGCTGTACTGTCGGTAGGAGTGTTTTCACGGGACCAACGAGAAAGATATTTCTCTCTGTAACAATTGGATTAGTATACTCATACGATCTATATAGTCATGCATACAACCGCTCTCACTGTTTAGATGTCAAAAAATAAAAATAGAAACGTCCACATGTGTTTCACGTGAAAAATAAATACAGATGAAGCTGGATTGGCAGGACATAGGTTAAGAAAACAAAATGGTAAAACCAATAGCGGGTGTGAACGTTTCGAATGAACAAACATTAAGTGGATATGTTCATCTTGCAACGATGGTCATTACCTGGAAATGAAGGAGAGATCGACTGATCTACTACGATTCACTCTATATACATCTCTATATGACATGGCGGATTTTTCAAGTTCTTCAGCGGATAGTCTATAAGTGGTTATGTATATCTATGTATCAAGTGTTGATAAGCTCTACCTTTCACAATATGGAGCTTCAACAACTTCACTTTCTTTCGCTCGAGCTAATTGCTGCCAAGTTTTTCCCTTTGAATAAGCTAGAAGTGCTTTAGCAGCAACCAAAGCCGATTCTCTATAAATGGAATGTTATAGAATACGATGAAGAGAAGGCGAAATTCAAATTAGTGGAGGTATTAATTGAGTGTGTGAGAGAATAAAAAAAAAGCAAAAAGGTGTTGTTGAGAATAAAATGTGGAAGGTGGGTGGCGGGGGTGAAATTGGATGACGGTGGGGTGAGGGAGATGGCAAGTCAATCAATTTTAAATCGAATGACAAAGATAGTTCTTTTCTTATTGTTATTTTATGATATAGGCAGTGAATAAGGAATATGGATGATGGAGAGAGCTGTAAGGTAAGGATGGGTTGGAAGAAACAATTTTGAGATTTTTAATCGAAAGTAAAGGAGGGAGAGATGAGAGATGGGAAATTGACAGGCAGAGACGGATTAATCATCGGCAGCAAGCAAAGTTATAGGAAATTGAAAATTCTTTTGAAAAATGAAAGTAAACACAATAGATTATTAAAGTTAAAAAATGAACAAAAGTTAAGAAGAATTGTAATGGAATGGATGGACGGACGGGCTGAGAGACTACCTGGGCTGTTGTGCTATGAAGCGATGGCCGATGTTCTCCGGCTGTTCAATCATCATAGAAGACTTGAAAAATTAAGAAAAAAAAGAGCCCAAAAGATGTATGAGAGGAAGATGCTAGCCTTTGATGGTGGCTACTGTTCGAGAAGAATTTCGTTTACACGTTCGTCTGAGAACAGAACGTGGCGTTGGCAACTTTGCTGAAGTTGAAATAAGATTTTAATCATCTTCAAGCTTTAGCCAGCTTCAACGACAAAAATCATGAGGGAGAACAGAAAAAAATGGTTGAAGGAGAGACAGGTTGAGAGATTTGACATTTTCATGCAAACTGAAGATGTCTAGAAGAGTCATAACTGAAAATAGAGGGAAATATGAGGAGGAGAGAGAAATGTCGACGGTTTGCTTGTCAAACTGTCCGCTATCCTCTCTTGAATCATCTTGTTTGAGTTAATGAAAGACACAAGAACTATCTTTTTTAACTTTTTATCACTCTTTCTATCCCTCTCTCTCTCTATATATCTATCTTCTGATAACTTCTATCGTCTTCTCTCCATGTTGCTCTCTCCCTCTCTCTTTCTGTCTCAATCTTCAACCCACTCCTACCAAGCTGCCTCATTCATATCTCTTTGTGCCATCTCAAAAAATGAAATGTAATATGTACTTTCTGCTGTTAACAAATATATTGCAAAACCAAGTAAATATTATAAAAATCGAAGTTACAATGACAACTACTGTCTTGAATCATCACTTCCTTTTCACGTAATGTCCTATCACTGTCATCTTCCTCATCATCATCACCATCATCAACCTCCTAACACACACTAACACAGCCACCAAACAAAAACTGATCAAGTTGACAAACAGAAAGTATCTTTTGGTTAAGATGTGCTCAAGAGCTCAAGCGAACATCCCAAAAGCATAATTTCATCAAAAAACTTTCCTCTCATCCTCCTGCTCTTCCTCTTATTCATATTGTGTGTGTGTGTGTGTCAGTGTGTGTTAGAAAACTTCTTCACAACTGAAACGTCCAAAAACAGCTTCTCGTAGGCGATCTTTACACAACCACAGAGAGAGAGAGAGAGAGAGAGAAACTCTCTTCTAATGTGAAAGGAAACAAACGAACAACAGCAAAATCTCAAATTTCTCGACGATTTGACTCGCCAAAACTTCATTTCATGAATGCTGGAGAAGATGTGAAGATGAGAATAATCAGAAATAGATGATGAGAACGTTATCAAATCGTAAATTGAAGTTGGAGCAGTCGGCAAACCAAATGGCTATTAGTTCAAAAAGATTTTTGACAGAATTCAAGAAATCAGAGAATCAGAGGCTGTTTGTTCACCAATAATCATTTAAAATGCCATTTTTCTCTTTGGTCGTCTTCTTTTTTCGATTCGATGCCTGTCTCATTCTCTCTCATTCTTTCATTTTCTTTTGCCCAGCTTCTCCTGCTGGATCACCTCCAGATATTCTCCTCTCCTCCTCCTCCTCCTGTTGCTGCTGCTGACTTGCCTGAGAGTCTATCACACTCTCTCATACTTCTCATTTCATCTATCAATCTTTTCCTTGCCTTTACAGAGAGCCAACTGGCAGAAGAAAAAAAAAATCACAAAGAGAGAGTTGGCAAAACGTTAAAGACGGAGAAGCAGTGTTGCGAGGGTGTTAAGCAGTGTGTATGAGAGAGTTAGAGCATACGGATTGCCAAACAAATTTCTATAGGAAATAATAAAAAAAAAGATTTTATTGAACACAGCAGCAGCAACAGAAGAGATGAGCATCCTCGAGAACTTATGAGTCAATGAGAGAATTATCATGAAACAACCTCGAGAAATAGTGTTTAATCTTAAGAAAATACAAAGACAACAGCATTTTTAAACATTTTCTGCCATCAGGCTGAAACCTGGACTGAGCGCGCCTCCGCAATAAGCGAAGAGGGAAACAAGTAAAACGAATCCTTCACAGAGAGAGATAGAGAGAGACAGAAACAGAAAATATGGTAGACAGAGAGAGAGAGAAGGAAAAAATGAAAAGTGAATACTAACGAACAGCTTGACCTCAACAAATCGTTTGGACAGCTTTTCGGATGATCCGACATTCCAAACGATCCACCAAAAATCGATAACCATACTTTGTATTCCAATCGTGCCGAGAGTACATGTGAATACACTTGGATCCTTTCCAAATTCCATTTTGTGAGTCAAATTTAATTAAAAATAATAAAGTTGAGTCCCTTCGGCATTTCTGAGAAACATTAAACAATTTTTTTCTTCTTCCAAAGTCAAGTGGATTATCCGGAAGAGGAAAAAGAAAAAAGTTCGCTTGATATGGCCATATCAACTCTCCCTCTCTCTCTCTCTCTCTCGTTCATGTGACGTTTGCCTCCGCGTTTTGAAGAGTGGAGTTGAAGAGAAGGCTTTACAAACGGATTCCAGTGATTTTCGGGAATTTTATTCGTTTTTTTGTGACTGACTGAAGTTTCAGAGTTGAAATGCAGACATTATCTCTTATGAGAGTTTGACAAAGAGAGCAAAGCGGAAGCAGAAGAGTATAGTATCCGCTTGAGAAGCAGCCTGCATGCCTTTCGTGTTCATCCTCCATATGAGTCGGTGTTCATCATAAGCTATGCACAAGACAATATTTTAACGAAATTACATTTCGTGCTTACCATATATGAACGGAAAAAAATATTTTTGGCATATGAGCAAGCAGGTCGTTTAGATGTTTTATTGTTTTGGAATGAATAGGAGAAGCTCTTCATCATAAACAACAACATTGGATATGTCTCCCGGTCAGATGGGTCATTTCGCAAACATTATTCGATTCTTCTAGCAACATCCTCTGACGAATCATCATTCGAAAACGTTCCTGATAGCATCATCTGTCTATTGCCTATGTTAAGCATCCATCATTTGCGAACATTCAATCTTAACTGACAGACAAACATCACCGTATATCATAATTGTCTGAGCACAACCGTTCCCTAGCCTATTCCGTTTAAAAAATGATTTTCGTTCACTTCCACTTTGTGTTGCTGCTGTTGCAAATTGCACGCGGCAGTCTTGAACCGCTTTCAGTCAAACCACGTCGTCGTTCATATGCTAATTTCCGGGCTTCTCCTATCGCATGCACACACACACAGTAGAAGCCAGAAACAGAATTCCGTTGGCCATGAAATAATCCCAAAATTCATTTTCTTCTTCATTTTCTTAAAATACAACGAATTGTAGAAAGTCATTGAAATGAAGTAGATCTCACTCACGACTATCAGATTTCGCTGGTCACATACAGCGGTAACGCTTTGTTGCGTAGCAGATGAAAAGAAAATCTTTTTTTTTTGCTTCTCCTTCTCCTTCTTCCTGAGCTTCTGCTTCTTCTTCTTCAACAATCTTTCAGCTCTTCATCTTCTTCTTCATCCTCTTCTTCATACTGCTTCTTCCAATGTTAAAAACTGAAATTTCTTTCTTCTCACATTAGACATTCACGCAATTCCGTCTTAATTCGCAATGAAAGAACATGAGAGAGTTTGGTTGAAGCAATTCCTCTCTCTCTATCTCTCTCTCTCCCTCTATCTCTCCCTCTCTCTATATTCTCTTTCAATTTCTATTTTTAAACAAAAAAATCTTTTATTTTCTTATTTTTTGTCATTTTCTTGCCATTTAAGTGCTTATGGCTCTTCTCTCCAACCACCCCTTCTTTCCTCTTCTTCTTCTTTGCTTTTCAATCTCTCCAAATCTCTCTATCTTTTTCTCTTTTTGCTTTTACATAGTTGCTGTTCGTTTACTACATGGCCACATACCAGCAATACATCACAACACTGCCATTTCAAGCTTTTCCTTGTCTTCCTCCCACCCCTCCCTTCGCTTCCTCTTCTCATTCTTTCCTTCTTCTTTTTCTTCTATCTACTCTCTATTCTCCCCTCTCTCTCTCCTCCCATTCCATATTTGTATTTGAATACTTTTATTTTTTATTTTGTTGTCATTCATGTCGTCATGTTCGTCTTCAACCGTCCACCATCCATGCTTGTTCCTCATCTCATCCCTTCAATTAACTATCCTAAGTTCAATTTTACTTTTAATCCTCTCTCTCTTTCTCTCTCTTTTACTCTCTCATAGTCTCAACAAAGTTTTTCACAAATCTTTCAGTTTCCGTTTTTGGTAGGATTGTTGAATAGACTGGAAATTACTTGTCTCTCGGGACATTGACCAACGTCTTTAGCTTTAGGATCTGCTCTTAGCTCTCCATCCTCACTGTCTTTCACTTTCTCTCTCTATGAATGTCTCTTCTCCTCTCTCTCTCTCTCTCTCTCTTTTCCTCTCTTCCTCTTTTATAATCATTCTCCAATAACCTTTCTAATAAAGAGATTTGTTTTCTTACAAAACTCACTTGCTCAGCACCGAACTCTCAATTGGCTCTCTCCTCTCTTCAGTTTCGACTTTAATTTTCCTCCTTTATGAGCTTCTCAATCAATAAGCTTAAAACTAAAAAACTCATTTACTGTTTGAAATATTTCAAAGAAATCACTTATTCATTTGTATTTCATTAACTATTTATATGAAAAGATTATCCAATTTCATATTTCATTTGGCAATTCTGTCTTAAGCAAGAGCCAATCTCCCACAACACACACACACACAGACAGACACACGTCTTCCTCTTCTCTTAACCCATTCTGTTAACTTAACTTCTCCCAGCCATCAATGCCATTCTCCACCTCTCCCTCCCAGCCCTCTGTCCAATCCCCTCCAACTCGCCTTCTCTCTACCTCACCTCTCACATGAAATTTACATAAATTAGCATGGAAATTAAATACTATTATGCTGCTTTATATGTTATTATAAATCAAAATGTTTATTGAAAACGCGTTTGTAGTAGAAGACGCATTCACTCACTCACTCACTCGCACACACACACAGACAACACATAGCCATACACCCATATGAAGAGCTCACTCCCGGTAGTCATTTGTCCTCCAGCCCAATGGACAGCAAAATGCCATTTGATGAAAGCAAATTTCTTTTTATTTTAAATCATTTTCTTTTGTCTTCAGCACGATAGATCAT